GTGCGTTCTCCCAGGGGAGTTGTCCCTGGATCCCGGGACCCTGGCAGTGGCGGGCTGCACAGGCTCCCCGGAAGGGGGGTGTGGATAGTGACCTGTGTTTGCACACAGGCTTCTTGGTGGCGGCAGCAGCGGCCTTAGCATCTCATGTCTGTCTCTGGGGTCCGCACTTTTAGCCGCGGCTCGCCCCCATCTCTGGAGCTCCTTTAAGCAGCGTTCTTAATCCCCTCTCCTTGCACACCAGGAAACAAAGAGGGAAGAAAAAAGTCTCTTGCCTCTTCAGCAGGTCAACACTTTTCCCCCGACTCCCTCTCGGCTAGCTGCGGTGCACTAACGCCCTGCAGGCTGTGTTCACGCTGCCAACCCCAGTCCTCTCCCAGCGCTCCAACTGAAGCCCTGGCTGCATTTTAGATTTTTTCTGTTTTTCTTTAGAATTTTGTACTTTGCTACATTTGGTATGGATTTCTTTTGATTTATCTTGGTACATTTTGTGCTTCCTTTATCTGTAGATTCATGTCTTCAGTTTTGAAAAATGGTCAGCCATTATCTCGTCACATATTGTCTCTTGTCCATTTTTTCTTTTTATTCTTCTGAGACTCCAATTATAGGCATGCTATACTTTCTTCTTCTATTTTCCTAGTTTGAAGTGTGTTCTTTGTATTTTTTAATATTCTGTTTTACTTATGATGCATTCTGGGTATTTTTTATTTATTTATTTATTTATTTATTTTGCGGTATGCGGGCCTCTCACTGTTGTGGCCTCTCCCATTGCGGAGCACAGGCTCCGGACGCGCTGGTTCAGCGGCCATGGCTTATGGGCCTAGCCGCTCTGCGGCATATGGGATCTTCCCGGGTGGGGGCACGAACCCATGTCCCCTGCATCGGCAGGCGGACTCTCAACCACTGCGCCACCAGGGAAGCCCTGGGTAACTTTTAAAGCCTGTCTTCTAATTTAGTAATTCTTTCTCCTGCCTCTAACTTTCTACTTAATTTATCCATTGACTTTTTAATTTCAGCAATTACATTTTTCATTGCTGAAAGTTCTGTTTGGTTCTCTTTCAAATGAAACTTGATAGTCTCTTGTTGCTTCCTTATTCCTATGACTCATTCTTTTATTTCTTTGAATATTAAATAATTGTTTTATATTCAGTATTACATGGTTCCAGTATTTGAAGTTTTTAGGGGGTGTCTAAATCTGCTGACTCCTTCTTATGGTGGCTTATTTCTTTGTGTTTTTGGCACTCTTTGATTGTAAGCTTATATTTGATTGATCTTAATGTGAAAGGAAACTAAAGTCTTAACTGTGTTTGTGTTCCTCCAAATAATAACTGCATTTGTTCTCACCAGAAGCCAGGGTACATTATTGGCTTACCAGGATCTTTCAGGTTCTTAGTCTTACCTTGGGAGTTTTAAGTTCTCCTCCCCTACCAGCTGTTTATCCAAGCCCATTTCCCAGGCACAGTGTTTATTAGCAGCACTGCCCTTGAAATTTTCCTCTTTGCTTGTGCTCATCACTTAGGTTTTAGATCACAGCTTTTGCTTTTATTTTGGGGAGTGGGGGGTGGGCAGAGTGGGAGAGGGCAGGGAGTGGCCTCTCATTTTTGTTACTTCCTATAGTAGCTCCCACCCACGAAATATTTTGTTTTAGATCAACTTTCTATTTTTTGTTTTCTAGCAAGAGAGCCTTCTACAGTGTCTAATCTGCTGTATTGCCATTAGTGAAACTTCCTTTCTATTTTTTAAACCCCTTCTATAAAATATTAATCTTAAGTAATATATGTATAGTATAAAAAATTCAAAACAGAACAGAAAGTTATGAACTAAAATTGCTCTTACTTTTATAGCCCTAGAGGTAACTACAGGTTTTTGGAATTTTTGTAATACATGAAATTAGAATACAAGTGATAATTTAAAATCTTTAAGGAGAAGCAATTTTAAGATACTTTATAGTTATATATTAAAAATAAGACTGATTTAATAGCATTTACAATTTATATTTGAGTAAAATTATTTATAATATCTTAAAGATATGAAATAGCAAACCGTGCAGATTTTCTGAAATGGTTAATTTTACAAATATATGTTTGGATGCTATCACAGAAAAATAAGTTTTCATTGTATCCAAGTACATATACTAAATAGGTCTTAAATACAGGTATAAATGGAAATTAGGGTTTAGAGTGATGGAATTATTGTGTATCCTGATTGTGATGATGGTTATCTGTGTTAAAATTCATAGAGCTATACATCAAAAAAAGAGTTCAATTAATGCATGTAAATTTAAAAATAAAATTTTAAAGATTAAAAAAAATAATTTATGCTGTCTTTCGAAAAGTAAAATTATAGGGTTGGGTTCTTAAAAAAGATTCTATGAAGTTTATTTTATATTATAAATTTTTCAGTGATGTTCTTCAGCAGTTTCATTTTGACTTTACTCCAATTTTGAGTCATAAAACATCATTCTTTTTAGATCATACAGAATCCATTAGTCACTATACTATACTAGACCAGGGTTTCTGAACCTTAGCACCATTGACATCTTTATGTGGGGGCTGTCCTGTACGTTGCAAGGTGTTTAGCAATTCCCCTAACTTCTGCTCATTAGATACCAGTAGCACCCCCTCCAGTTGTGACAACCAAAAAAGTTTCTAAACATTGCCCAGTATCCCCAGGCGATTAGGGGATGTTGGGGGTATGTGTGGGGGCAAAATCACCACCAGTGGAAGATGACTGTACTAGGCCTAAGTGGCTCAACCTTTTTAGAATACATACTTCTTCATTTTCAAAGCTTGTCATGCTAATATTAAGTGGTATAATTGTATGTTATGGTAAGAGTTGTATGTATATAATCTCCTCCTGTACCAAGAGATCTCTTTTAAAATTATCTAATGCTATGATAGGGCACACCTCATAAAATTAAAAGCTGTTATTTAGATTACATCTGTGTAAAATGAGAATTTTAGAAGAATTTGAAAGGGTGTAACAACAGTACCTGTCACATAGCAGCAACCTTAATAAACCAGTACATGAGTGCAATTAAGGATAGGGTGAGGAAACTACATAACACTAATTTTTGCTCTGTCTTGAATTTATTCTGGTGCCTTTGCAAATTATTTAACAAGAATGTTCGTTTTATTGATCTTATAGGGTGTAAATGATTTAACCTAAATTGTATAGGGTAACACAGTAGGGGAGATGAGAAATTTAAGACAAACATTCTATTAAAATGTTAAGTGCTTTAGTTGATCAGATATTTAAAATATTTCAGGTATTAAATAATAGAAGAAAATGGAATTGGATATGATACCAGCATGGAACAGTCTGTTGATTCATTAAGAGTCAACCATAATGATTCCGAAGAGTCAAAAACCGATTCTCAGGTATTTGAAGTAGGGATTCAACTGGGAACTTTTTTCCATTTAAAGGGAAAGCGGCATGCAATTGGATTTTTTATATTTAAGGAATAGTGTTATATTTAATGTATTCAAGAATTTTAACATTTAATTTTTAATAATTCTATCATATTTAATTTTATAATATATAGCTTTAGTGTATTTGTGAAAGTTTATATGTAAAGAAAAATCTGCATATTGAATTATAAATATTTCATCATTTCACATTGTATTCCTGTGGATTATTTGAAATAAAATATAATAAAAATCAACAGTTTCACTTAAGAACTTCTGTCTATATCAGTCTGTGAATTGATAACCCTTGCAAAAAGTAAAGTGAATAATTAACTGAAAAATGAATGTGTCTCCATCTTTTATTAAAAACATTCTATTTTTTAAAAATTGTAACTTATTTTACAAACACTCAAGTGATTTTTTTTTTTTCTTTGCAAAAGCATCTAAGCTGTATGGACTCCAGTGAGCCTTCTTTTGGACAAGATGGTTCCCCTAGAGTTTTACCCATTACTACTGCAGTGGATAATTCACTCACATCACAGAATATACCAGGGCCCCTGACTCAGACACAGACTCTTTCTGCAGAGCAATTCCACCTAGTGGACCAAAATGGGCAACCTATTCAATATGAGCTTCAGTCATTGGGGGATTCTAATGAGCAAATGGTGAGTACGTTTTTAAAATAACCAGTTTTCTGCTATTTAGCAAAATGTATTAGTCTTACTAGATGACCTTAATTTCTTGACATTATTGCTTTACATTGCTTTGAAAATACTGTTTCCATGACATTCATTTTTAAGTTATATAAGGATTTTAAAAGATTTCCTTTCAGGACTACAGAGTACTTCAAACCAGTACGTCCCAGCTACTATGTCTAGGCAAACTGGTACTTTGAGATCCGTTGGAAATGTAACATAATCTGTCACTAGTGCTAAAGTCCCAGAGCTTACATATAACTTACATTTATTTTTTGTATATACATTTGACTGAACTCAATGTTGTTTGCTGTATCAACATCTCAGTTACTGATTTGTGTGCCACATGCTGGTATGCTTTCTTGAAGAAAAAGAAAGCAATGGAAGTACCAGTGGAAAATGGAATTTAGACATACCCTTACTGATCTTTGTAAGTAGATATGTAGGTGTCATGTGAATAACAATGCATAAAGTTGACAGTGCTGCTTTAAACTGTTAGCCAAAAATATGTACGACCAAGTTCACAGTTGAATAGATGTGGTGATAGATGGTTTTGATTCAAATAAAATTAATGAGAAAAAGTTCTAAATTGCTCTCTGACTAATAATATATTTATATCAGTAATAATATGAAGAATAATGTATCTCTTTGTTTGCCTGTATTTTCGAAATTTTCTACAACAAATTTTAATTCAATAATAAAAATTATTTTTAAAATCATAACTTCAATTATAAATTATACTTAAGTAGGCAACCATTTAACCCAAAATTCTTGTTTTTGTTTCTAGTCTAGAGCATTCTAGAGTTAATCTATGTCCTTTTGCTCCCTTATAATTCAGCTAAATTTTGGCATTGAGAGTAATTGGTTGAGAGGTGGCTAACTGTAGACAACTTTTTTGTGTGTATGTTCAGGCTCAACATATTTCTGGGCTTCAGGACTGAAATGCAAAGTTAGGGTAAGCTTCTGTAATCATACTGCATCACCAGCAGAGGTTAATATGCAACAAATAATCTAGATGTGAACCAATACATTTTAATATTTCATGTTCAAAATGAAATACTTCTGTAATTTCCCCTCTTATTTGACATTTATTCTAGTTTCTATCAGAACATTTAGAAAGTCTGTGTGTTCTAATGGAAGGATAAAAGAGTCTAAATGTATGAAGGGTTATCATTTTACACATGGTACCTTTCCTAAAAAGCATGTTAAAGTTACTTATTTGTCTGGGTCTGAAAAAAGTTCGAGTTCCCATTCTCTTTGTAATTGTATTAAACATTCTATCTGAAGTGATTATAAAGGTGATTTTACATTGTTTGCGGTAGGAGATGATACAGAGGGTTGCTTGAAGTTGTGAAATAGGAAACATGTGGCATGAGCATGAAAATAAATGTAAGGAACGTGGAGTGTTACAAGCTGTCTTCTCCAAAGAACCAAAGATCAGAAGGTGGTGATATTCTGGGAAACTTAGTGGAGATTTTTTGTTTTTATTGTTTATTTTAATAGACTTTAATTTTAAGAGCAGTTTTAGGTTCACAGCAAAATGAGAAGAAAATACAGAGAGTTTCCATATACCCCCAGCCTCCATATATGCATAGTCTTCCCATTATCAAAGTCTCCACCAAGTGGAGCTTTTTGTAAAAAATGACTTTTTTGTTTGTTTGTTTTGAAGTATGATTTTTTTCACATAGAAGCTTTCACAGAACTAGTAAAGATTCTGTAGTGGGTAAATCTGCAGTGGATGAGAGGAGGTTTTGGAGTGAAGCAGGGGTGATATTTTTCATTTACTAGAAATATTGTACACAAAGCGCCCAGTAAATATAAAACTACTCATTAGCCAAGATTTTCTGGTGATTTTCATGGTCGGCCTCAAAGAAAATGTATTGCAGCAGATGACTCTTCAAAACTATGTTTATTTTCATAGCAAAGATTAAAGATAATCACTTTTTTTGGTAATAGAAAAAGTAGTATTATCATCACCATTGTCAAATTATATGAATTAAAAATAGGTTTTTAGGTAACAGGTGGAATAAGCTAAGGAAACAGAAAATGGAGGAGATGCTTTTCCACTGTGCTTGGGAAACAGTTTCAAAATTAAGGGGATATTCCACAGATCAGTCTTAATTATGAAATTTTCATATGATTGAATAAATTATAACTTTATTATATGTGTTTTATTTGGATTTAAAAATAACCACAGCACTCTTATTTTCTAAGAATGAATGAAAAATTTTCACACATATTTAATCTCATTTACAGGGAGTAAAGAATTAACAACAGTATTATTACTATTGCCTTTTGAAGTCCAGTAGGGTTTTCGTATTGTTTTATTTTTGTCTTTTTTTAGGTTAAGTAACATCATCAGATATTGGGGGACAGTACAAAGTAGTGGTTAAAAGGAGTCAGACTGCTTGGGTTTGAATTTCAGCTCAGGACTATATAGCTCTGAGTTACCTTGAATGAGTTTTGTAACCACTGTGTTGCAATTTCCGCATGTATAAAATGTATATACTTCGTATACATGTAATGAAGATTAAATAACGTAATATTGGGTTGGCCAAAAAGTGCCTTTGGTTTTTAAGTAAAACTAAAAGACACATTTTTCATTTTCACCAGGAACTTTATTGAACAATGTATTCACCCTTTTGTTCCACTACTTTCTGCCATTTTTCAGGCAACTTCATAATTGAATCTTCCCAAAACTTTTTATCTTTTTGAGCAAAGAACTCTTGCAGGTGCCTTTTACAGTCTTCCAGGGAATTGAAATTTTTTCCATTAAGAGAATTTTGTAAAGATCTAAATAAATGGAAATCCGAAGGTGCAATGTCTGGTGAATATGGTGGATGAATCAGCACTTCCCAGCTAAGCTGTAACAGTTTTTGCCTGGTCATCAAAGAAACATGCGGCCTTGCGTTATCCTGATGGAAGATTATGCATTTTCTGTTGACTAATTCCGGATGCTTTTCGTCGGGTGCTGCTTTCAGTTGGTCTAACTGGGAGCAGTACTTGTTGGAATTAATCATTTGGTTTTCCAGAAGGAGCTCATAATAGAGGACTCCCTTCCAATCCCACCATATACACAACCTCATCTTCTTTGGATGAAGACCGGCCTTTGGTGTAGTTGGTGGTGGTTCATTTCGCTTGCCCCACAATCTCTTCTGTTCCACGTTATTGTACAGTATCCACTTTTCATTGCCTGTCACAATTTGTTTTAAAAATGGAACGTTTTCATTACGTTTAAGTAGAGAATCGCATGTGGGAATACGGTCAAGAAGGGTTTTTTTGCTTAATTTATGTGGAACCCAAACATCAAAGCGATTCACATAACCAAGCTGGCGCAAATGATTTTCAGCGCTTGATTTGGATATTATGAGTATGTCGGGCATCTCCTGCGTGGTATAATGTTGATTGTTCTCAATGTCTCGATTTGATCGCTATCAACTTCAACTGGTCTGCCTGACCGTGGAGCATCATCCAGCGAGAAATCTCCAGCACGAAACTTCGCAAACCACTTTTGACACATTCAGTCAGACACAGCCCGTCAGACACAGCGCCTTCTCCATGCCACTGCACAAATCTTTTTTTGCGTTTCAGTTGCATTTTTACCTTTCTTGAAATAATAAAGTGCATAATATGCCAAAAATGTTGGTTTTTTTCCTTCCATTTTTAGTATTAAAATGGCTACACAAAAATTCACCAATTTTGGGACTTTCCTGGCAGCGCAGCGGTTAAGACTCCGAGATTCCATTGCAGGGGGCCCGGGTTCCATCCCTGGTCAGGGAACTAGATCCTACATGCACGAAGCAACTAAGAGTTCACATTCTGCAACTAAGGAGCCCACTGGCCGCAATTGAGGAGCGCACGTGCTGCAACTAAGGAGCCCACCTGCAGCAACTAGAACCCGGCGCAACCAAAAAAAAAAAAATTATGATGCCAATAAACATCTATAAAAAAATTCACCAATTTTGATCAGTCTTTTTTTAAATGCACACTGATATGACAACTGTCACATAAAATCTAACAAAATTGTTTTGAATGAAGTTAAAGTCAACTAAGTGCTACTAGAGCCATCTTACAGAAAAAACCAAACGAACCTTTTGGCCAACCCAATGCATGTAAAGTCCTGCTGCTTAGTATGAACTCCACAAATGAAAAGGAATTATCATCCTCAGAGTTTACAGTTGATTTTCATGCTGAAGTAATAAGAGGTATAAGAGATATGGCAAGATATTTTTATCTCAAGAAACTTGACAAACACTGAGGGAAGGAAAAAATTTCTACTCTTAATTTCTGGGAAATGTTTATGATTATATTGAAAGCTTTCTGTTTTGTTGAGGTTTAAGGGTGGTTTTTTTTTTTTCCAAATTTAAAGTTTTTCAAATGACCCTCTCTAAAAGTGATGCCGTCTCTATCAGGCCATCAGCAAAGTTTTCATGTTTTACATAGCAAAAGGGAAGTTTGAGAAAGTGGGTTGGAATGATTAAGGACAGTTATTTGCCCTAGGGAAAACTGAGGACGGGATTTCAGGTAAAACAGTAAAACTGTTAGTAGAAGAGTAGTTTTTAGGTAATAAAGTTTATAAGGTATCCAGAAAGTCTGGAAATATAGGATAAACTTAATTTTAAATAATATATTATATTTTTAAATGATAGGCTCAAAATGTTTTTCTTCAACTTTAGACGCTTTCTTAGTTGACATTCCTCTAAATTTGAGGCAAGGAGTTCATTTGTTAAGCTGAAAAAAAAAAAACAAAAACACCAAAGGAAATAATAAATATACAATTCCCCTATGTTTTCAGACTTTTGGGTCACTCTGTAGTATTTCTTATAGACCAAGACAGGATATATAAAAATGCAGAGATATAAAAATAAATCCTGTTTAATTAGACATCTAAGTTACTGTTTTTAAATGAAAATGACTTAAAATATGAGACCAGTGATTATCACACAAATAGGTCAAACGTGTGGATAATACAATAAGTAGAAAAAAGTAAATATATTTAGTGTAGTCAGAGACCTACTTGTTCAGGTTACTAAGTAATTAGACCTCACGTCCATGTAATGATTAAGATCATAGGTGGTTAAGATCATAGGACATAGGATCAAACTGCCTGTTTTGAATCCTAGCTTTACCACTTATCAATTGTGAGACTTTGGGAAAAAATTTTTAGGTACCTCAGTGTTTTCATCTATAAAGTGAAGAAAATGATAGCATCTGCTGTAGAGATAGGCATGTCTACTAATTTTTTAAGTAATGATTCTTTTGAATCATTGTAGACTTATGCATTTGATTTTTTTAAAATGTCTCCAAGATGATTGTTGCCAGCCCATCAGAAAATGGACAGGTGCTGCGTGTAATTCCATCTACCCAGACAGGAACAACACAAGTGATTGTACCTCAGGGGCAGCTTGTGGATGTGAATAGTCCTCAGGGTGAGTAATCATGGGATATAGGGGATTTAAGAACGTTTTAAAGAACAAACGTATATTCAGAAAATCACCTCATGAAAGTCAGTGCTAAAATTGATCTCTTTGGGTAAGATTGTGAACTGAATGATTAGAAAAAGTTTCTTAGCCCAAATAAATTTCAAGTTCATTTTTCAACTCCTGTCTAGGTTAGCTGTCTATTTCATTTTGGAATTCTGTGAAGCTGGTTGACTCTTGCTTCCTCCCAAATGACCAGTGAGCATAAAATAAATTCTTCTTAATTTTAATAACAGTAGTAATGACAGCAACAATAACAAGAATATGATGCTAATAGCTACTGGAGAAATTTTTATTTTATATTTTTATCAATGTTGTTAGACATGTGACACTTTTTTTTTTTAACTATTCTTCTCATCCTCTTTGCTTTTTTCCTCTTTGTTCCTTCAGATTCAGAAAGAATCATACTCCTCATTTTTTTTATAAATTTATTTATTTATTTTAATTAATTTATTTTTTGGCTGCATTGGGTCTTCGTTGCTGTGCATGGGCTTTCTCTAGTTGTGGCGAGCGGGGGCTGCTCTTTGTTGTGGTGCGCGGGCTTCTCATTGCAGTGGCTTCTCTTGTTGTGGAACATGGGCTCTAGGCTTGTGGGCTCAGTAGTTGTGGCTCATGGGCTCTAGAGCACAGGCTTAGTTGCTCTGCGGCATGTGGGATCTTCCTGGACCAGGGTTCGAACCCATGTCCCCTGCATTGGCAGGCGGATTCTTAACCTCTGCACCAGCAGGGAAGTCCGTATTTATTTATTTTTTATTTTTGTACGCGTTGGGTCTTTGTTGCTGCATGTGGGCTTTCTCTAATTGCAGCGAGCGGGGGCTACTCTTCGTTGTGGTGTGCGGGCTTCTCATTGCGGTGGCTTCTTTTGTTGCAGAGCATGGGCTCTAGGCGTGCGGGCTTCAGTAGTTGTGGCCTGTGGGCTCAGTACTTGTGGTTCATGGGCTCTAGAGTGCAGGCTCAGTAGTTGTGGCACATGGGCTTAGTTGTTCCATGGCATGTGGGATCTTCCTGGACCAGGGCTCGTACCCGTGTCCCCTGCATTGGCAGGCAGATTCTTAACCACTGCACCACCAGGGAAGTCCCCCTATTTCTTTTTATTTTATTCTTTTTCTACCTATTTGATATTATCCCTATTCGTTCTTTTCCTTTTTCTTCCCTTCCTTTTCCATCTATTTGAATCTCTTTTCTAACATCATAGCTACACTGTTGTCATTTTTTCATAGATAATGGTTTAGGGCAAATAATTCTTACTTTAGTGTTATGATTCTTTGTCTTTGATAATAGTTGTTACAACTTAAGGAAAAGAAAACATAGTTTGCAGAAAACATTACAAACATGGTATAGAAACTAAAAGAATTAGTCTTACATTTTCCTATTATATTGTGATACTATTAATATAACAATTACTTCTACCACTTTTATATCCTAGCTGTTCAATATAAGTTCCAAAACTTAGTTACAAAACTTTAGTAGTCAGTATTACAGTTTAAAAGTAAACAAGTTTATCAGAGAAATTCTCAATAAAGTATAAGTTTTATTATCTTTAGCTTCAGAGTATATCTTTCCTATTTCAAATGTATTAGTTCCAGTTCATTACATTCTCATGGTCTTATTCAAGATATTGATGTTGCTTTGTTCTTGTTCTTATTGTTAAGATGTCTCTGAAGAGAAACCCAGTGACGGAAACTTACCAACTGTAAGAGTGGATTCTCTAGCAGACAATAACAGTAGTTACATTCTTCATCCACATGCATCCCTCACATTGCCCAAAAAGACAGTGACCAGGTGAGTCAATGAGAAAGAGGAGCTCATCTTTGAACATCACCATGGAAATCTCTTTTTACATTATCACATTTAAAGCTGGCTGACTATAGAAAAGATCAGAAATTCAGAAAATAGAGTAAACCATCATCAAATACATCCTTAATCATTTTAATAACATCTTGGCAATAAGGGAGCTACTTTAGAATCTATAAAAGGCCAGCGTGCTACTTTTCCTCAGTGACATTTGCCTGTTATCTTTTGAAGCAATCTGTAAACATCTGGCACTAATACAGTTTTTTAAAAAAAGAAGTATCCATTCTAGGTCCTATAATTTTTAATAGTTCATCACATTTTTATGCATTTAATTCCTCTGTGGTAAAGTGTTTAAAATGTTTTTTGTTAATGTCTATTTCAGCTTTTATTTTTGCCTAAAAATAACACTGTTTATAATAATTTAGGGAAATACAGACATGGGTTTTGTATTACTTATATTTTAATTGTTCTATGAAAATATTTTAAAGGTAACATAATATTTGTGACATTTAACTTTAGAACTTGACATAATATCTTGTTACTGTTAATAAGTCACCTGAAGATGGTTTATTCACTCATTTTTGTTAAATGAAAAATAATTATGTGAGAATACAAAATAAGCTCTGAGAAAGATATATAAAACGCTTGAATTTGTTGAAACTACAGGTATTTGGAAGAACAAAGTTAGACTTTTGCTTTAGCAATTGATAAAATAGTAATGATTAAAAAAAGCATAATTACATCCATCAGACCGATCTGTCATTATTATTACAATTTCTAATTGATGATCTCAGTATTGTCTTTGAGTGGCTAAGAGGATAAAGCAACTGAATGCTGTGTGTGTGTGTGTGTGTGTAACTTGTAATATATATTTATATATGCCCCCCCATCCCAGAATACTTGAAGAACCCTTTTTGGCTCCACTCCAGCCACTTTCTTCTAACACACCTATATGGGCCTGTCGTCTTAGGAGCTGTGAGGTGAGTTAAAAAATAATCCTTATGTAGATTCACTTAGTTGATTATAACTACAATTCATCCCAAAATGTCCACTTTTGAGTACAACTAATAGAAGCTGTATCTGTAATATTTTGTTCATGTTTGTGCTAACTCTTTTATTCCTTAGAGCTTGTAAGCTCTGTTAAAGCAGAGATCTTATAAATCCCTTCATACTTCACTGTCATTTCGTTTCTTCTCTTACAACTCTTTTCCCTTGTCTTCCATAAAACTTCACTATCATGTTTCTCTACTTTTTATCCTTTAATCATTCCTTCTCTTTCTTTGCTTGGCATTTATTTCTTTTCATATTCTCAGCAGAAATTCTTCAAGAGTCACCATTTGACCTTGTCTTATTTCTCTACATTTTATCCCTTGTAGAGCTTAACAGCTTTGTTGACTTTCAATTCTCAGTTTTATAAAAATGATTCCCAAATCTCTATCACCAGTTCTTTAATTCTGCCCTTGCTTTTGTCCCAGATCTCTAGCTACTTACTTGAAGCTTTACTTAGATTTCACCTCAAATTCACCATATCTAAAGAGGAATTATCTGCCATACCACAACTAGCTCTACTTCCTAAATTCCTTGTCTGTGTAATAACAAATACCATCTCCTTAGATACAAAGTTTTAGACTAATTTCTTCCTTTCCCATATTCAGATAGTCACCTGATTCTTTTAGTTTTTTTCTTTAAAGTGGTTTAAAGGGAGCTTTTCCCACAAACCTTTGTTATCTTGAACTCAATTATGGTAACAGCCTTCCCATTAATCTCTTTGACTTTTCCATTTCTAGTCCTTACTGTATAGTTTTCTAAAACTACTTATCTTTAAATATTACTTTCATTGTCTTTTCTCACTGCCCAATAAGCTCAGTGTTATTTTTCCACATCATTTAGCCACTTGTTACTAGCTTTCAAGGTCTTCTATAATCAGGTATCACCTTATCTTATCCTTTTTTATTTCCTGCTTTTCTCCAATTCATCTTTCATTCATGTTAGCCAAGTATTCCTACTTGGTACACACACTTCAGAATGTTCATCTCCTCCTTCACTTGTTTTTATTTCCATTTCGTAATATGTTATTTTTTCTACTACTTACCTTTCTAACTACTATTCTTCAAATCGCAATGCAAGTCCTATATGTCTTTTCTATAAAGGTCTAATGATTACTTTATCTTTTACCTATTTATCTCTTAAAATTTTATTTATGTATTTATTTAGTTGTGCCGGCTCTTAGTTGCGGCAGGCAGGCTCCTTAGTTGCAGCTCACGGGCTCCTTAGTTGTGACATGCGAACTCTTAGTTGCAGCATGCATGTGGGATCTAGTTCCCTAACCAGGGATCAAACCTGGGGCCCCCTGCATTGGGAGCGCGGAGTCTTATCCACTGCGCCACTGGGGAAGTCCTTACTTATCTCTTAAAATTCTTTGATAATTATTACCATTACCATTCTTAATTATTTGCTAGCTTGGGTTGTTCACTATTATATACCATTTAGACTATACACTTTTTGAGGAAAAGGACCATGCACTTCTACATATAAACCATACATGGTAATGAGTATTTAATTATTAAAATGCTTCATTGTTTTAAACAAATCTTAAAATATGGCAAGGAAAAACATTACTTGAGTTTTAATATTTTGAGAAAATTTCTAATCATGAAGTCTAATGATGTATTACATTTGTTAGGACATTATCACTGTTGTTGCTTTTCTAAGTGTTATGTACGTATGTATGTATAGACAGTAAGATTTTTTTTCCCTTCACACTTTTTGTTAGTCATAGTTTTTCACTGGTTTCCTAAAGGTACTATTCTTGTCATTTGATGAGGGTTTTTAACATCATTATTATAAACTTCATGAAATGCTATGGACATTAAAGCATTAGCAACTATGTGGCGAAATTACTTCATTTTACACCATGGTACATTGTGTAGCTAATCTAACATCATATATCTTGTAAGAAATTAGTTAAAACTGTCCAGCAGCCTGAATTATCTCAAAGATTGAAGGATTCTTTTTCTCCAAGCTATATCAACAGTGAAAAACATTTTTGGTTAATGGCTGAAGAAGTATTTTCTGCATTTTGCTTAAAAATATTGCTTAGTAGTCCTTTTTACTTTTTGAATTTCCATTTAAAGGTGTTTTTCTTATAGGCATTTTTTAGATTTGACCAAAATCTGTAATACTGCATTAAACTTTTATCTCCTGATATAGGTCTGACTGCATTGTACTAATTCCGAATTTTTCCTTTCATTAACAACATTATATGCTGTATTCATTTTATTTGTAAAAACATGCTATAGCTAGAGTTAATGTTCCTACTTTTATTTGTAGGGATATTTTGATGAGGAAATATCTAGGCTAGAAGAAAATTCATAAGCATAGGCATTTTCGTTATTTTTAGGGGAAATTGTAGATAATGTATTGTTTGGAATCAGAATATCTCTTTTTATTATGGCTCAAAGTATACCTACAACAGTATGTTGATACCTTCCTTTTGTTAAATGTATTCTTGCCAGGTGAAATGTTTAGTCTAATTAGGAGGAAAAAGATCTCTATTCCACATCTCTGCTCTTATTCCCTATAAGGGAGAAACATACATGGAATCAATTCTAGGTCTAAATGCATTTCAGTTTAAGAGATCACAGTTAAAAAATTTCTCTGGGTATAAAAAAAGCTTTTCTTCTAGTTGAGGGATACTCACAAGGTTGTAGATAGATAATATCAATTTATTTACATGATTTGTTTATACCTTGCCTTATTTCAGGAAGAATTTAAGACAGCTTACAAAAATACTTAAAAATGTATTAGCAAGGTGGAAGTTAAAAGTGGGAGGTAAAGAATAAAGAACAAGAATGGAACCATAAAATGGAAGTAAGAAATGTATATCTGAATAAGTGATATGTGTGTGAATTTCTACATGCAGAAAATTGGAGATTCATACCGTGGCTACTGTGTAAGTGAGACTGAATTAGAAAGTGTCCTAACATTTCACAAGCAGCAAACACAGAGTGTTTGGGGGACCCGCCAATCTCCAAGCCCAGCCAAGCCAGCTACACGCTTGATGTGGAAATCCCAGTATGTCCCATATGATGGAATCCCATTTGTCAATGCAGGTACTTTTTTAAAGATTTATTTTAAAAAGTTCAGCAGCAGCCATGATCTTTTGTGAAAATGTGGTTTTCCTAAGGTGATAACATTTTCATTTTGGTAGATGACAACTGACTGTTAATTGGTGAAAATGCATATTAAACTAAAAAGAAAACTTACAGTAAATATAACCAATTATTTAAGTTGTAAAATTGTATTTTAGTATATTAGGGTAAATAAATAATACTTCTTACTGAAAAATAGAAAGTAAAAAATATTTAAATTCCGGGTAGACCTATTTAATAAAAATCAAACCATAGAGCAGTTTTATTATTTTAAATATGTATAGCTGGTTGGTTTTCTTTTTTTTTTCCATCCAATCCTGATAGTCTCTCCTTCTCTCTTGATTTGTCTTTTGGGAAAAAAATCGGTGTCCATTTTATATAGTGTATAACTCAGGAGTTACTGTATAGAACTGGTATACACTCTGGAGTTATTATATAGAATTCTAATATTAGGGTTCTCAAGTATCAGGTATGTTACATACAGCATTCTCAAACACTGGGCTAGTGTTTACTAAAGCAGTAGAGTTTCAGACAATTTCCAGAGAGTCACCCTAGGACTAGTCAGACCCCAAAGAACCTAAGAATAAGTGATTTATTTGAGAAATATGGGGGCATTGATTTAACTAGAAGAGTTGCAGCCTCATCCTGGACCTCTGAGGGTAAAGAGAACTACTTAGAGGAAGCTGAGATAAATGTAACCCCTTCTGCCCAGGTTTTATTCTCCTCCCCAGTTTAAATCCCTTCTTAACTCCCCTCAGGCAGCTACTACATGAATTTGGTGTGTATTTTTATACTTTATCATACATGTTTGTATTTATAATAATATATTTTATTGTTTTGAACATTTTAAAGTATATGTAAGTAATAAACTATAGATATTCTTAGGTAAACTTTTCACTCATTCTTATTTTTGAAATCTATCCATATTGATAACTATAAATTCTAGTTAACCCAATTTAATTATTATATAATTTATCATTATATAATAATCTATTACTTAAATTTGGTCATTCCAGTGTATGACCAAACTGCAGTTATTTTTCTACTAATGATCATTTAGGTTGTTTCCAATTTTTCAATATTACAAAGAATTCTATGGTCTAACCTCCATGATACATGTTTTCTGTTGGAAAGTTGTAAGTAGTTTACTAGAGTGTGTGCATTAAAGTGGAATTACTTTACAAGATTATCTCAAGTTGCTCTCTAAGGTGGTGTTCAGGTCCAAAATCTCTAAACTTTTTTTTCCCAAATGTATTTCAGAATTCTGTATTTTTGGACTATAATATGGTAATATTACAGAATACTCCTAGCAAGTATTCCATAGACAATATCACATAATCAAACACAGTAATTCATTATGCATAGCCACACTAAAAGGAATAAAGACTATAAATAGCCTCATAAAGTTCAGGTCAGGTTTTGCAGCCAAATGTATTCCAAAAATTTTTGTTTTCCATGCTTTTTAAATATGAGAATCATACATGAGGGATTGACAACCTGTATCAATTTTTAGTCCTTTGAGCAATGTATGAAAATTTCCCTTTCCCACATTCATTCTGTGATTTGACATTGTCAGATTTTAAAAAATCTTTATGCTATGGGAATTTTCATATGCGTATCAAAGTAGAGGTAATAATGTATGAAATCTCATAACTCCGTGTATGCATCATCCAGCTTCAACAAGTATCAGCATGTGGTCAATCTTGTGTCATTTATACCCCTACCCACTTCTTCAGGAAATTCCAGATATCATTTCATCTATAATTACTAAAGATGATTTTACAGGAAATTCCAGATATTGTTTCATCAATAATTACTAAAAGTATATAAGGTATTTAAGGTATTAAAGTATATATCTGAAATATAAGGATATCCCATTATCCCACTTTAAAAAATTAACAGTCATTTCTTTTTTTTTTTTACTGTTCTAATTTTTAATTTTTTGGCCACGCTGCATGGCATGTGGAATCTTAGTTCCCCAACGCCCCCTGCAGTGGAAGCGTGGAGTCTTAACCACTGGACCACCAAAGAAGTCTGAACAGTAATTTCCTAATATCATAAGTTGTTCATTGTTCACATTTCTCCACTTACCATAATTCTTTTTGCAGAGGTTTGTATAAATTCACATGCAAACCAAGTTTATGGATCAAATTTGGTTAAGTTACCAAGTTTATGGATCAAATTTGGTTAAGTTTCTTCTCATCTAAAAACTTCTCTCCTCTTTTCTCCCAGGTAGTTTGTCCTGTACACTTTGCCATATTCAGGATTTTGCTGATTCTATCTCTGGTGTTTTTTAACATGTTCTTTTATCTCCTGTATTTCCTGTAATCTGTTAGATGTATGAGTTTGATTAAATGAAGATTTAATCTTGATTAAAGTATTTTGCGAGAATACTTCATAGGTGTGCTGTGTACTTCTTATCACTACCTATGTAGCATTTTTAACTGCAAGATTGATCAGTGGATTCAGTTGTTTTAGAGTATTGTCAAATTTTTTATGTTTACCAATTTGAAGAGTGTGAGAGAGTATCTTATTATTGTTTTATTTTTTTTAATTAATTAATTTTTGGCTGTGTTGAGTCTTCGTTGCTGCACATGGGCTTTCTGTAGTTGCGGCGAGTGGGGGCTACTCTTCATTGCGGTGTGTGGGCTTCTCATTGTGGTGGCTTCTCTTGTTGCGGAGCATGGGCTCTAGGCGTGTGGGCTTCAGTAGTTGTGGCAACGCGGGCTCAGTAGTTATGGCTCGCGGGCTCTAGAATGCAGGCTCAATAGTTGTGGCGCACGGGCTTAGTTGCTCCGCGGCATGTGGGATCTTCCCGGACCAGGACTCAAACCCATGTCTCCTGCATTGGCAGGTGGACTCTTAACCAGTGTGCCACCAGTGAAGTCCTTAGTATTGTTTCAATTTGCATTTCCCTGTTTACTAGTGAAGTTGAGCGTCTTTTTATTGTTTATTTAATATCCTTTTGTTTCCTTTCTGAATTGCCTATTCATAGTCTTTGCCCATTTTTCTGTTTGGTAGTTAGTTTTTATTTTTAAATTATTTATGGTTCTTTATATTCTGCATATTAATTCTTTGTTTTATGTATTATAAAATATTGTTTCTCAAACTGTGATTTTCCTCTTACCATCATTTAGAAGAAGTTAGTTATCAGCCTTATCAACACTTTTATTCATGATTGGTGTTTTTCAGGGTTTTTAAATATATATATTTATTTATTTATTTGGCTGCATTGGGTCTTAGTTGTGGCACGCAGGATCTTGCGGCACGCGGGCTCTTCGTTGTGGCACGTGGGCTTCTCTCTAGTTGTGCTGTGCAGGCTCTAGAGCATGTAGGCTCAGTGGTTGTGGCTTGTGGGCACTCTGGTTGTGACATGTGGGCTCTAGAGCACGTGGGCTCTGTCGTTGCTTGCCCTGCGACATGTGGGATCTTAGTTCCCCGACCAGTGATCGAATCTGTGTCCTCTGCATTGGAAAGTGGATTCTATCACTGGGCCATCAGCGAAGTCCCTGGGGTTTTGGGTTTTATATTTGAAAAGTTTGCTGTACCCTACATAGATTAGGATATCCAACTTAAAATCCTAGATTGTATAGTTTTCACATCTGCTTATTTGTGTTATCTATGGTACTGTAACAAATTACCCCAAATGTGGTGGTTGAAAACAACAAACATTTATTGTCTCACAGTTTCTATGGGTCAGGAATCCAAGAGCAGCTTAACAAGGTGGTTCTGCCCCAGGTTCTCTCACAAGACTGCAGTTAAGATGTTGGCTGGATCTGCCGTCATCTCAGGACTTGACTGGGGGAGGATCTGCTTCCACGCTCACTCATGTGGCTGTTGGCAGGCCTTATTCCTTGCCAGGTGGGCCTCTTCACAGAGCTGTCTCACCACATGATATCTGATTTCACCAGGAGAGAGCAATCCAAGCAAGAGCAAGAAAGTACCCAAGATGGAAGTCACAGTCTTTTTATAACCTAATATCAAAAATAACATCCTGTCACTTCTGCCATGTTCAGTAGAAGTAAGTTAGTAAGTCTAGCTCATGCTCAAGGGGAGGGGATTACCAAGGACATGAGTACTAAGAGGCAGAGATCATTGGGAGCCATCTTAGAGGCTGGTAATCACATTATTCTAACAGCTCAAATAGAAATAAGGAAATAAGGAATTATAAAAGGAAATAAAATTTTAAATGATATTAATATTTACTAACAAATGTAGCATTTGCTAATTTCTACTTATAAAGTAGTAAATTTTATTATTAAAAACCATACATATGTAAATACCAGTTGACAGTCAGTAAATGTGGTATTTGCTAATTTCCTTATCATAATGCGGTACATTTGGTAGCTATTACAATAAACTTTTAAATTTATGTGTTTGTACATCTTAGTAAGTCTTACTGATGTTTTCTTTCCTTAAGGTTGTATAATTGGAAGTATAGATTTTGTCATTGCCACCTCCAAGTTATTTTTAATCTAGTGTCCAGAACAGATGGATACTTGAATTAAATATCAATAGTTGGTTTTGGCCCACAGGGAGTAGAGCTGTGGTAATGGAGTGTCAGTATGGGCCAAGAAGAAAAGGTTTCCAGTTAAAAAAAATCAGTGAGCAGGAAAGCAGGTCTTGTCAGCTCTACAAAGCTACTTGTCCAGCCCGGTAAGCTTTATTTTCTTTTATTTCTTTTTTATTAAGTACTTTTTTTTGGATAGCTAATATGCACATTTTTATTAAGTTTAAGCAGTGCCAAAAGCATACAGTGAAATCTGTTTCCTCTTACCCCTGCTTCCTATGTCCCACTTTAAGGCAACAACTCTTACCAGTTTCTTGAGTAACCTTGCAAAGATATTCTGTGTATATGCATATAGGTATATACTCTACTGTCATAAATGTTGAAGATCTCAGTGAAGATTATTAATATTTTCTTTCCTTAAATTTGGGTAGTAGCATACCTTCTTTCCGGCTATGAATTCACATTGATACATTTCCATTCTGAATGCCTATTGTAGTTATTTGCTGCACAGCTATTATGCTTCATACTAGTGTGAATGTAGAGATATATACTACTCTACATTTAAAAAAAATTTTTATTGAAGTATAGTTGATTTACAATGTTGTGTTAATTTCTGCTGTACAGCAAAGTGATTCAGTTATACGTATAAATATTCTTCTTCATATTCTTTTCCATTATGGTTTATCACAGGATATTGATATAGTTCCCTGTGCTATACAGTAGGACCTTGTTTTACTCTATTTTTTTTCATTCTCAGTATATCTCAAAGTTGGCTCCATGTCTATATTTAAATGAACCGATTACTTCTTTTTATTGATTGATCAACTGATTTTAAAAAGTGAGATAAAATTGACATATAAATTATGTTATTTTCATGCTTCCTTCTTTTTAATAGGTATATAATATTTCATTTATAGATGAATTATCATTTACTTAATTAGTCCTCCAACAATGGACATGTAGGCTCTGGAAAATATTCTTTATTATTATATACAAAGCTTCAGCTAATAACATTGTACCTATTTGTACACTTGTGTAAGTATATTGATGGAATAAATTCCTTGAAATGAAATTGCTAGGGCAAGTGTTGTATTCTTTTTAAATGTTGACAGGTGTTGCAGAGTTGCTTTGTAGAGTGATTTTACCAATTATATTCATACCAGCAATGTAGAAGACCAGCAGAGTACGTTTTAGGTAGAATAGGACTACTGAGTAGTCATTGCTGTGGCTGAGAATGAAAAATGTTCACCAATAAAAGATTTTTGTAATGTTCTTTACTAATATTCTTTTTTCACACATTGAAAGTGTTTTAAATCATAAGATAAAATTTTTAAATAACACGTAAATGTTGGATTTAGTTGAGCTTTGAAACATTTTATTTTAGCATTACATCTCATATCACAAACCCCAGCGTTCTCAAGAAGTTTTTAAAGCCAGTTAAGAAGACTTTTCATGTTTAATCTGATAATGATAACTTTAGACAATATTTAAACCTGACCATTAAACAAAACTCTGCTTTTAAATATAAGCAGTGTAGACCATTAAACAAAACATTGCTTTTAAATATGAGCAATGTAGAACTTTAGATATAACTTGGGAGAAAATCTATACGTGAAGAGATAATTTTATTCTCTATCATTCTATAAGTACTTTTTGAGTATCTGCTCTGTGCCCAGCAACAACATTGGGTGCCATGGGAAGGAGGGGAGACTAAAAGAGGTATATGATTTTACTTAATCATGGGAAACTTAAAATATTGTTGGGGTAGATCAGGAAGCAACAAACTATAAGAGAACATAATAGTATTGTATATAATGTTAAATGTGTGGATTAGCTAACTGTCTTCAGAGAAGGAATATATCCTAGCAAACTCATTAACAGGAAAGAAAATGGAACTTAACCTGGATACTGAAGTTTAGATTGAATTTGATAGGTAGAGAATTCGAAGGAAGATATGGTAGGGTACGAGAATGATATAAAGAAAGATATAGCATGATTGTGTATTTGGTATCAGAGGAGGAAGGAACATTGAGATGATAAACTTCACAGGAAAAGCAATTTTATATTTGAAGTGATGAAAAGATGGGTAAATAAATTAGAATCATATAGAATGCCTTGAATGCTAAGAAATTTGTGCTTGATTAAAGAACAGATAGATTCTTCAACAGAGAAGTACAAATGCAAAGAATTATTGTGGCATTGATATATCTAGTGGATTTAAGAAATGGAAGACTGGAGGCCTAGAGGCTCCAGAAGGCAGGTAGTAAAGTAATCCAGGTGTGAGGTGTTTACAGCTTCAGGGAGAATGGAGAAGAGACAGATCCAGGGAAAAAAAAGTTAATATTCATAATATTTAGACATTTTTACTAAAGTAATGATTATTAACTTGCTGAGTATTATACACTGAAAATATGGCATATCTTTCACATAATTATCTGAATGCTTTCTAGATTAATCGAATTTTCTCTAAACTCTGCTAAACTTATGCTAAAGTAAACTTGTGGTTGATAAGTTAGTCTTGAGGTATAGTATAATGAAAACAATTCTTCTTTTTCTTATAAAAAGGATTTACATTAAAAAGGTACAGAAATTTCCTGAATATAGAGTTCCTACAGACCCCAAAATTGACAGGAAAATAATCCGAATGGAGCAGGAAAAAGCCTTTAACATGCTAAAGAAGAACTTGGTAGATGCTGGTGGTGTTCTTAGGTATGACATTTATATTGTTCTTTTATTTTACAAATTACTTCGCTCCATTTGGAAGAATTCTGTAATAAGAGAAATTATTATGTTTTCCAATTATTTCATTAAGAAATGGTTTTTATAAGGTAGATAGATGTCTTATTAGTTGCTCCCTAGGTATTAAAATGATTTACCACTGTATAAGCAATTGAGTTTATCGTCCAAATGTGAATAATTTTAACCAAAGAATTCTTTATACCATGTGGAAGTTTTTTCCCCAAATGATAAATACATATTTAGCAACACATTTTATTATATATTTAGTACGTTTTTTCAGATACTTATTAGGAACTGAACTTGCAGTCACCTACATATATTTTTTAAACCCATCTTTGATTACTTATGGCAGCCAGATATGAATTCTAAGCCCTATATAAAATTCCATTTTATATCTTTTATGCTTCAGGTTTTAAATAAGAAATATTTAATATTTAAATATTTAAATATTTCTTATTTAAAGAAATAAGCTTTCTTTCTTACTTTCCTTTATGTGCTGGTCCAGGTGAAGAATTTATAAGGGGGTTAAGTGTATGGAATACAGTTTTTATATGATCTTTAGAAAAAGTTTCAGATATATGAAAAATAAATACAGTCAATAATTAGACTCTTCAGTTTGGAGAACATTTTGTATAATTTTTAGGTAGGCTCCGTTTCATGCAATATCAGGCAGTGCAAGCATTTTGTATAAAGATATTTATTAAAACTGTATCCTATCAGATCAGTTCATTTTCCTAGAATCTGTTTTACTGCATGGCTGTAAGAAATCTGTGTTCACCTTTTAGTTAATTCTCTTGCTCATTGGGGCAAAAGGAGCTGGAGTGCTATGGGGGCAGTATGTTGAGTTCCTGTCTGAGAAGATTCCCTCACGTAGCTCGATCTTCGTAGGCACTAAATTATATCCACTCTTTGGTTAGGAGGATTATACGTACAACACAGAAGTTGTAATTTGGGAACAAAATGGTAGAAGAATGGGAAAATACACAATTCAAAAGATGATTTTAAAATCTCATTATTTTGAGGTAAAGTTTACTTAATATGAAATTTTAAATACCATTTTCATGTATACCTAAATCTTGCACCCTCCTTAACTTTAAGGACATAGTAAAAGTCTATAAAGGTTTATAAAGATTTTTATTTAATTGGGTATAAAGCCAATCTTAGAAGAGTTAAGACAGAACATTTTAACTTTTATTTATATTTATTTAATTTACTTAAAAATTTTAAATTTATTTAATATATAATCATATAATTTTTCTTAAACGATGATTCCTTCTCCTGATGAGTATTAACATAAGTAACTATGATGTTGCTTTTTTTTTTTTTTTTTTTTTTATTTTTTTTTGGCTGTGTTGGGTCTTCGTTTCTGTGCGAGGGCTTTCTCTAGTTGCTGCAAGCGGGGGCCACTCTTCATCGCGGCGCGTGGGCCTCTCACTGTCACGGCCTCTCGTTGCGGAGCACAGGCTCCAGATGCGCAGGCTGAGTAGTTGTGGCTCACGGGCCTAGTTGCTCCACGGCATGTGGGATCTTCCCAGACCAGGGCTCGAACCCGTGTCCCCTGCATTGGCAGGCAGATTCTTAACCACTACACCACCAGGGAAGCCCTGATTCTTGCCTTTGTCTAGTAATATAATTTTAAATATTTTTTCTTGTCAGGTGGTATGTACAGTTACCTACTCAGCAAGCTCATCAGTATCACGAATTAGAGACTCCCTGCCTCCCTTTATCACCTTCCCCTTTTCCTATGTCTTCTCTTGAAGAAGAGGAAACTGCAGTTAGAGATGAGAACTGTACATTACCCTCACGTCTGCATCCTCAAGTAGCACATAAAATTCAAGAACTAGTATCACAGGGAATACAACAAGTGTATGCAGTAAGGAAACAGCTAAGGTACTGTAGAAACAAATTGTTCTTTTTCATTTCTGTTTGTTGGTTTAAATAATACACTTAATATTATAGACATTTTCCAGGATATAGGCTATCAGAGTAGATAAGGAATATAGTTTATTAATTTATTAAAATAATCTTATTTATGAACTGATCATTTTTCTGCAGATGCTTGGCAAGCCATAAGTAATGATTCGAATTACTCATTTGAGATATTCCATATTCAGATTTGGCAAATTGGACTATTTCTAAATGATATATACATTGAATTATGTACTAAATACCTTTACAGAAAAAAAATTTGTAGAAAAGATTTTAAAACGTGGGCCAAGATACTTGTTTTATCCTGTTTGAAATACAATTAAATTTTATTACAACAGAAGAATGTGGATAGTTTTTTTGTTTAATGAAATTTTATAGATAGTACTCTGGTCTAATTTTATTGATACTCAGGATATAATAATAATTATTATGTGGCACTTAGTATGTATGTGCCAGCTATTGTGCTAAGCACTTATAGGTATGATCTCATTTATTCTTATGACTCATGAAGTTTGTGTATTTATCCTCATTCTGCAGATGAGGAAATGGAGACTCAGGGTGGTTAAAGATATACAGGCAGAACTGAAATCTAGGTCTGACTACAGCCTGTGCTCTCCAGCATGATTTCTGCTACTTAACTGACCTTATTCCTTCTGGTTATTGTGTAGTCTGATCTGAACAACACAATGAGTATTTCCCAGGATTATTTCTTAATTAATACATGACTTTTCTATTTAGCAGCTTTCTTAGACATTTTATGTTTATTTCCATTGGGGCATTCTTAGAACAGAGCCAAAGTTTGGTAAGCCATCCACTATTTTACTAAACCTATATTGTAAAAACAGAGGTATAATACAGCTCTTCAATGTGGTCTACTGAATGTAATGCACAAAGAATATATATATTGAATTTTATCATTTCTTTTATATCTTTATTTTTTATAACCATCGTATGGCAATGCTGCCTTTTATTTCTATCTTCTCATTTGTCTACTTGTAAAATTTGAGCAGACATATTTCATATATTAATTGATGACTTTTGAAAGCAATGAAACATGATGTTTATATGTATAACTTTGGTATAGGCCCAGTCTCTCTTACTTACTAGCTAGGTGTATAACTTTGGGAAAATGATTCGATTGGCCAAAAAGTTCATTCGGATTTTTTCCTAAAAGCTTACGAAAACCCAAACGAACTTTTTGGCCAAAGCAATACTTAGCTTCTGTAGCCCTCAGTTCTCTCATCTGTAAAGTGGGAATGATAATTATACCTACCTCACAGGATTATAGTGTGGGTTAAAGGAGATACTAGATGTGAAGTGTTCAGTGCAGTGCCTGGCATTCAAAAACATATTATATTTAAATTGAAAATAGTGATTTCGTTAAATTCATAAAAATATCAAAGCTCATTCTAAGATATATAGGTGTTTAACCAATGAAAATATTACATTTCTTTAATCTGCATGAATTCCATGACTTAATGTATGGGAAAAAAGTGGAAAAATATAAATTACTTATAAAGCTGTAAACCATACTTAGAAGTTTATACTAAAAGAGAACTCTTTGTCATTTGAGCTGAATTAGATTGCTAGATTGTTTATGTTTTTATTCTGTTTTATATTCTCCATAGAAAATTTGTGGAAAGGGAACTGTTCAAACCTGATGAGGTACCTGAAAGACATAATTTATCCTTTTTTCCAACTGTAAATGATATAAAAAATCACATCCATGAGGTACAGAAATCCTTGAGAAATGGAGATAATGTATATAACTCAGAGATTATTCCAGCAACGGTATGATTACAACTGTAATTCCTTGTTTTATTACAACAATCTTTCTCAGCTGATGCATGATTGCTATTAGGCCATAAAAGTAACTGTGATATAAGGAAAAACGATAGTATCTTTTTCTCAAAATGTGAACACTATGAACTCTCAGATAATGATTTGACTAAAATATTTTTTATTACTCTCACAAGAAGAAATATCAGCGAATTTCCAACCCTGACTATAATAACAATAGTAATCTTCACTTAAAAATCAACACATATTATCTCTGTAAAAAGTGTATCTTATTCATTTAACAGATATTTATTGAGTACATACTGTGTATCTCTCCACCTCTTTTTAAAATTTCAATAGAAGCAAGTTTAAATAGAATAGTTCAGAGTTGAATACACAAAGTGATGATGTTGGTTCTATATGCCGTCTATGGATATAAAGTTTACCTCACACTGTGATACTGTAGCTTTCTCCAGAAAAGTGGCCATTTCTATGAAAATTTTGCCTAATCTGAAGAGATTAATGTAGTTACCCAGGAACTGCTAATTGTAATACAAGCAGTGATTTTGGCATTAAAATCTCAAGTAGCAGTATTCTTTTCTCTATACATTTTGACTCTCTAAATTCAGTAACTGAATAGATTGAGACTTTTTTAAGCTAGAGCTACTATTCTTTTCTGTCCAAAACTCTTAGTTATTCACTATCCAAAATTCAGGAACTAAAACAGATTTGGTTAGCAGTAGTCTTTGCCATCTACACTTGCTATCCAAATTCTTGCTATCTGACCTTAGGAAGCTAATTTATTTGCATAGTTAAATATACTTAATACTTTGAGAATGTGAACAAATAAAGAGAGTAATTACAGAATAAAGCACATTTATACTATGACTGAATAAGATATGACAGTTGCATTGCTGTTTTAAAATAGTTTTCAAAATAAATGCTTTGTTCTTTTTACTGAAGTAAATGTTCCCATTTCAGCTTCAATGGACTACAGATAGTGGGAATATTCTCAGAGAGACTGTGACAGTTACACTTGCAGAAGGTAGGTTATCTTGAATACTTTTAAGATATAAAATCAAACAGTGTTAAAATTGGAAGACATTTAAGATGTTATCTAATTTATCTCGTCTAATTTATGGATAAGGAAACCATGTCCCAAAGAGGCAAGAGCAACTATGTTAGGATTTATCAAAATACTTCCAGCTATTTAAATTTCCTTCTATATAATCAGCTTTCCTTTTTTTTTGGTATGGTTTTTTTTGTATGGTTTGTTTTTTCTCATATGTTCTTACTCCTTTGCTCTCTCAATATTCCAAGCTTATTTCAACCCTTTTGTTCTCTCTTCTAGAAATGTCTTTGTCTAGGAATGTCTCTTTTAGAAATGTCTTTTCTCCTCTTCTGTATGGCGAACTCCTCTCATTACTCACATAGCAATCTCTTTGGCTTTAAATGCTCTCTTAACTTCACCCCCTATGTACAGATGGATATTCACTCTTTTGTATTTATCTCTGCATTTAACATGGTATCCTTTGTTTATGCATATGTATCTTTCATTATGATTTGAGAATCATATTTTATTCAAATTAATATACCTAGTTCTTAGCATAATGGCTTCTAAAAAGTTAACACCTAAATAGATGCTTTAGAATAATAATTATATACAGTACGATTTTTTTTTATTCTTTGGCTTATTAACCTTTAAGAGTCACTTTGCCTATAAATAACTCACAAATGCAGATGACATGATACTATACATAGAGAATCCTAAAGATGCTACCAGAAAACTACTAGAGCTAATCAATGAATTTGGTAAAGTAGCAGGATACAAAACTAATGCACAGATATCTCTGGCATTCCTATACACTAATGATGAAAAATCTGAAAGTGAAATTAAGAAAACACTCCCATTTACCATTGCAACAAAAAGAATAAAATATCTATGAATAAACCTACCTAAGGAGACAAAAGACCTGTATGCAGAAAATTAGGAGACACTGATGAAAGAGATTAAAGATGATACAAATAGATGGAGAGATATACCATGTTCTTGGATTGGAAGAATCAACATTGTGAAAATGACTCTACTACCCAAAGCAATCTACAGATTGAATGCAATCCCTATCAAACAACCACTGGCATTTTTCACAGAACTAGAACAAAAAATTTCACAATTTGTATGGAAACACAAAAGACCCCAAATATTCAAAGCAACAATGAGAATGAAAAACGGAGCTGGAGGAATCAGGCTCCCTGACTTCAGACTATACTACAAAGCTACAGTAATCAAGACAGTATAGTACTGGCACAAAAACAGAAAGATAGATCAATGGAACAGGATAGAAAGCCCAGAGATGAATCCACACACATATGGTCACCTTATCTTTGATAAAGGAGGCAGGAATGTACAGTAGAGAAAGGGCAGGCTCTTCAATAAGTGGTGCTGGGAAAATTGGACAGGTATATGTAAAAGTATGAGATTAGAACACTCCCTAACACCATAAACAAAAATAAACTCAAAATGGATTAAAGACCTAAATGTAAGGCCAGAAACTATCAAACTCTTAGAGGAAAACATAGGCAGAACACTCTGTGTCATAAATCACAGCAAGATCCTTTTTGACCCACCTCCTACAGAAATGGAAATAAAAACAAAAATAAACAATAGGGACCTAATGAAACTTAAAAGCTTTTGCGCAGCAAAGGAAACCATAAACAGGACCAAAAGACAGCCCTCAGAATGGGAGAAAATATTTGCAAATGAAGCAACTGACAAAGGATTCATCTCCAAAATATACAAGCAGCTCATGCAGCTCAATAACCAAAGAACAAACAACCCAATCCAAAAATGGGCAGAAGACCTAAATAGACATTTCTCCAAAGAAGATATACAGATTGCCAACAAACACATGAAAGAATGCTCAACATCATTAATCATTAGAGAAATGAAAATCAAAACTACAATGAGATATCATCTCACACCGGTCAGAATGGCCATCATCAAAAAATCTAGAAACAATAAATGCTGGAAAGTGTGTGAAGAAAAGGGAATACTCTTGCACTGCTGGTGGGAATGTGAATTGGTACAGCCACTATGGAGAACAGTATGGAGGTTCCTTAAAAAACTACAAATAGAACTACCATAGGACCCAGCAATCCCACTACTGGGCATATACCCTGAGAAAACCATGATTCAAAAAGAGTCATGTACCAAAATGTTCATTGCAGCTCTATTTACAATAGCCAGGAGATGGAAGCAACCTAAATGTCCATCATCGCATGAATGGATAAAGAAGATGTGGTACATGTATACAATGGAATACTACTCAGCCGTAAAAAGAAACGAATTTGAGTTATTTGTAGTGAGGTGGATGGACCTAGAGTCTGTCATACAGAGTGAAGTAAGTCAGAAAGAGAAAAACAAATACCATATGCTAACACATATATATGGAATCTAAGGGAAAAAAGAAAAAGTCATGAAGAACCTAGGGGTAAGATGGGAATAAAGACACAGACCTACTAGAGAATGGACTTGAGGATATGGGAAGGGGGAAGGGTAAGCTGTGACAAAGTGAGAGAGTGACATGGACATATATACACTACTAAACGTAAAATAGATAGCTAGTGGGAAGCAGCCGCATAGCACAGGGAGATCAGCTCGGTGCTTTGTGACCACCTAGAGGGGTGGGATAGGGAGGGTAGGAGGGAGGGAGACGCAAGAGGGAAGAGATATGGCAACAGATGTATAGGTATAACTGATTCAATTTGTTATAAAGCAGAAAGTAACACACCATTGTAAAGCAGTTATACTCCAATAAAGGTGTTAAAAAAAAAGAATAGAATTTTTGGTAACTTACCTTTTAATATAAATAAGGAATTCCCTCCTCAGTTCCATTTTTTTAACATTTAATATGTAATTAATTAAAATCATAGTACCTTCACCAGTAACATAAAAAAAATAATTCACAAAGTCTTTAGAATTATTCATTTGTTCTGTGTATATTAACTCAGTGTGATAAATGCTGAGCCTAAAAAAAAAGTAAGTTTCTTGCTTCATTGAATTTAAAGTTTAGCAAGAGAAAAAGGCACTACAGTATATTCTAATGAATTACTCTTATGAATTGTGCCATGAGAGAATTGTGCCAAATTGTATGGGAATGGTGATAGTGACATGCAACTTAGTTTAAAAGTTACTTTCTCAAGTGTCCCTTCCCTATTCTCTAGACTGAGAACTGAAGAATGAATAGGAATTTGCCAATCAAAGGAATAGCATGTTTGAAGGCTGAGCAAGAAAGTGCTTGCTGTGTCCAAGGAACTTAAGAAAGCTAGTGTAAAGTATAGACAATGCTTAGAGATAAAACTGGTTAAACAAAACAGGTTTAGGAGGCCCTTTCAGCAGTCCAAGTGAAAGGTGATAGTGGTATAGATTACAGTTGGTGACATTTATACTAGAATTAGGCAGATTTAAGAGTTATTTAAAAAATTGAATTCAAAGGCCTTGGGTATTGATTGAATAGGTGTAGGAGGTAAAAGAGTGGGAATGATCTGGGATGACTCCTGAGTTTCTTCCATGAGCAACTGACTGACAGTGGCATTTACTGAGCTCAGCAATCCTGGCATAAGAGTTGGGTATTGGTAGCAGGGGAGAGAAAAAGATCCTGTGATTAAGTTTGGAAAAGCGTGAGTACCAATCATTTCAATGAGGTGGATTGGAAGGAACCCATATTGGCATAGCTGAAGAGTGAATGGGAGATGAGTAAAGAAGCAGAGACAGTGTGGACCACTTCAAAAAGATTGCTATGAAGTGGGTATGGGGTTGAGGGAAGGTATGTTAGGAAAGGAGAGACCTGAAGAGCTAGATGAAGATGAAGGTACTTGATAGGTTTGGTGATGGGAAGTTGAGTACATTTCTATCTGATAGCTTCTCTTTTCTCTTTAAGTGTTAAGAATGAGAAAAGATCACAGGAAGGGTGACCAAGATTTGAGGAAAATGGAGATTTAATATCATCCCTGATATAGAGTGAGAGAAACATTATAAGATTGTCATATACGTGAAGTTCCTATTGAGGCTGATGATCATGAATTGGTATTAGTAGTGACAGCGAATTTCTTCTTCAGTGACATTCAGCTTTACGTGTATAGGCCCTGGAAGCCATTTTCATCCAGAATTAGGATTTTACCAGGGCGTTATGACCAAAGGACAGAGAGGAAAGGGAGTTTAAGGTATTTGCAAGAGAGTGACTAAAATTATAAGCCCAGGACTCTAAGCTGGATGGGGAGGAAATTTTATTAAGGAAGACAGTGATGGATCTGAAGAAAACTGAGGAATTAGTTAACTGGAGGTTCACATGAAGTTGAAGCAGAATTGTAGTAGAGTACCTGAGCAAAATCCCTGGAAGAATAGAGGTTGTGATCAGAGAATGGGATGTTTGAATTAGAGATTTTACATGTGGAATAATAGTCCCAGGTATAATCATAGTAGCGGGTAACTGCAGCATAGTGAGGTGGGACAGTTAGAAATGAAGCAGCCAAGAAAAGTGAGAGTACTGTTAATCCTTTGAGGAAAATTCTCTTATTATCCTGATTTTACACATGAGGAAACTGAAGTTTAGAAACTGAGTTAAATAGAATGTTGAAGGCTACAGAGAAAAGCCAGCACTTAAATCCATCCTTGTCTGACACCAGGACCATTTTTTAAAATTACTCGGTTACACGGGTGCGATATGCAGTATGGGAGCAATAAATAGTTGTTGATGATTGGTTTTAATTGGTTTTTGATTACCTTAAAGAGATGAATATATTTGGGTTAACATATAAGAATTACATGAGAAGGACTCAAATTCCCGAAGGACAATTACTTTAAAATTGAGATATTTAGAAAAGAAAAATTTTTACTCTTCTTCATTTATTCAAAAATGAGTTATTGAAAGAAATTTAGTACTATTATTATTGAAGACCTGCTTTATGCCAGGCATTGTCCTAGGCACTAGGGTTATCAAAGATGAGTTAAGTTTGGTGTTTGTAACTGAGATATTCAATAGGTGTTCCACATCTGGAGAAGCTTAGGTCCAGCATTATAGCATGAAAAAAATGGACTAGATTAGAACTACAGGTATAGAATCTTTTAAGGAAAAAAATAGCTTCTTACATCCCTTCCTAGATATACTGCATTAAAATTACTGGAGGTTGAATCTAGGAATTTATTTTTTAAAGTTTGGTGATTCTGATGATCTACCAGGTTCTGGAAATAGTAGACTAGATAACTTCTTAAAGTCCGTTTCAAACCTTTGACCTTATTTCCTATTCCATTTCTGATAGTAAGGATTGTAATAAAGTATATCCTAGAAGCCATAAAAATTACTTTGTTTTAATAGTTTATTTTTTATATAATTTAGGAAATTCACAAGGAGAAGCAATTTCCAGCAAAGTGGAAACAAATCAGACAAGGGGTTCTTTGTCTCCAGAGCCAGCGCACTTGCTCTCCTCACTTTCTTCATTTCAGCCAAAAATATTCACACAACTACAGGTAAGTATCCAGTGTAATAGCCAAATTTGGGGCCCTTATCGTTCTTCCTCAATCTTCCCTCTTTTCTTAGGGATTTAACAGAATTGTTATAGAATTATAAAGATGATCAAAGATGTTTTCATCATTAATTTTCTGACTTTTTTGTGTCTTGATTTAAGATGATAATTCAAACAATATGTTTTGGAAAAGTTTGAATTGACTATGCATGCGATAAAATTAGTTGTACTAGTTTTCCTTTGGTTGTTGTTTCTGTCCTCACTTAATATTTGTTATTAGCTATACTCTTAGCTTTTATTCCAATTTTGTGTCAAAAGAGTAATATATTTGATAAGAAAAACATACATAGTAAATTCAAACATTTTGATGTAACTCTTTTCGGTTCAAAAGGGTTTGCAGTTGCAACCAAGATTCACATCTTCTGATGGATCACCAGCTCTGATATCAGTAAATAATCACCCCTCCTCCAGTCCTTCAAGACTTCTGGATTCAGTAGGAAGTGCTGTAATGAATAATAATTCTCTGCTGCTTGGTCAAACTCATTGCCTTCAAACAGATACATGCCTAACCCAAAACAATAGTATTTCCTCTACCATGGGTAACCTTCCAGGACCCGATCAAAATCTGGTTGCAGTGGATCAGCTGGTGGAAGTTGGAGATGTTGAGGATACAGAGAATCTGGAAGGAAATGTTCATCGGATTCTGCTGGGAAATGTTCAGACCATTCCAATACAGATTATAGACAGCGACCCAGCTCTCAGTAAGTTAAAATCATATGATTTTATTTTTTTTAACCTTTATGGACTATCATCACTATTACACTAGAGAGAAAAAAACTGTCATTTCTACTCAGTGGGTTTATAATAATAAATCAAGTAAAACCAGGAGAAAAAGGGAAGAAATTTGGTGACCATGAGTTTAATAACTTTTAAACATTTTAATGTTTTTCTTTATCAAAATTATTCATTCCCTAATTACCTAGTTTTACATGGAAAATCTGTGGTGATGTGAAATCAGGAAGGTCATTTTTTTTTTTTTTTAGGAAGGTCATTTTTGAATGCATGAAAAAAAATTAGAGAAACTCTAAAAGGAAAACTATTTAGTGTAAAGGTTATTATGGAAAAATTGATACACACACACAAAGAAAAATGGGATGAAGTTGGCAGATGTAAAGGTTAAAAGGAGGATTTTGAATTATAGACTTAAATGTTGAGTTCTATAGAAATTGAAAGGGAACTAGTAAGACTTGGGGACTTGGTTTTAATCCAAGACTTTGTTGCCTTCACTTTGGAATGAACCCAGTCAACATAGTAATAAATTCTGTTAACTGCTACTTGACCTATGCCACTTCTTTTCACACAAATTGTTCTGGATTGGGCATTTTTGTGGGAAAAGATCTGCAGTTTGCTTTGAAGAACAAAAGTCTTCATAGAATTATCCTTAGAACATACATTTTTCCCTCCATGTGTGAGATAGTGCCTTCCAGAAAAAAATCATTGGCTTTTAAATTTATAGGAAGCATACTTTTAAGAAAATTTCTCCAGAGGGCTGTGGCAGTTGTCTTTAGGAACTTTAGGAGAAGAGAGAGAAAAGGAATATACATGAACTAATCCTCACAACTACTCCATGAAATAGCTAGTAGTGTCCCCATTCTACAGATGAGGAGACCAAGACTCTGGGAGGTTAAGTAATTGCCTAAAAAATCACATCTAGTAAGTGACAGAGAGGGCATTTAAACCCGGACCTGTCTGCCTCCAAAACTTCTTCCAGTTCTAAGATCTCTCGTCCGTCCATTGTGCCAAGGTTTTCTGGGAGCTGTAATTCAGATTGCCTTAAAGGAGTCCCTCTTTGGATCTGAACTTGCATGATCTATCAAGTTAGATCATGATTTTAGGGACTACTTCACCTAAATATGAATTCTCAGGATCACTCAAATCCATCCTCTACTGGTTTTCTCGATATGGTGTAGGCTAAACTCTAACACACCTGTATGTGACAAGCATTAGGTGTGTTCAACACACTTTTCTGAGCAAGTATAGTCCCCTTGACCTTGGTTCCCCATAGCAACTGAAAAACTGATATTCCTGAGAAAGAGAAAGATTTTATCTTAGGTATCCCACCTGCCAGATCACAGTAGTGTTGCTGGTTTGCTACATTTACATTAATTTGGTCATAAGTACTTTGAAATCAGAATGGTAGTACATTCTGAAATGTTTCGCATAAGCAAACACATAGCTTGTGCAGCTAAGTCAGAGCTATCATTTAAGATGTTGCATATTTTTTCTGAAGTATTTAAGTAGTGTGGTTTCTTTAGGGAGACAACATTGAGTGAGTATGGAGACCATATGAGAATGGTAACACATCAGTGGATTTGTAGTATATGTTTGCTGTTTGTAAAAAAAAAAATCATTTTCAAATAATGAGAGGCTTCCTGACTTTTAGTCACACATATTTTTAAAGACAGTTGAGTTTAAATATGAAATATTCCTCATAATTTTATCAAATTATGGACTGATTTTCGGTCAAAGAATCTTTTGAAGAGTGTAACTTTGCAGTTTTCTTGGTCTCTTTTTTTTTCCGTACTGAAGGAATTTAATATGAATGACCGTTAAGATGTCAGAAGCATTGAGTTCTCAAATACACCAACTGATTTTCTAAATTACTTGATTCTTTTTCCAAACTACTGTTGTTGTTTTTTTTGCCTTGCTTCTAAATTCATATAATTCTAAAGATTCCAGTATTATAAATTATATTAACCCTTAGGGTTTTTCTTTTATGTTCGGTTTTAAAGTTGAAGAAAGTCCAGAAGGTACCATTTCTGTGAACCAAGTTAAGCAAGAACCCAAAGAACCAGCATTATCTATGGAAGCAAAAAAAAAATTGGACTGTAAGAAATTGTCTGCTACATAAATTATTGAAGCTTTTCAGAATTTACAACTCTGGTGACTTCTGATGTCATAAAAAAGAAGGTGAATATTATCAAAGCGCAGCATTGTGATAAGTGGACTGAAGACTGGTTTAATGAGCAGCTTTAATTTAAAACTGACATATTTGTTGCTAACTCCCTATTTTTACCTTAAGAGATATTTTATTCCTCTTATTTTGTATAATTCTTATGCTTTTTGATTATCTGATAAGGCCAGTATTTCAAAAGGTCATCTGAACATATCCACTTATCTAATTCATCCTCTGGAAATTAGATATTAATTTTGGTTCTTAAAAAAGAACAACAAAAAAGTATGTGAGTTTGTGTGTGTGTGTGTGGTGAATTTTTTTGAGTTCTGAAAGAGTTATTCCCTCTTTAAAGTTGTGAAGAAAATTTTTAAATTGGCAGACGGGAGAATATCTGAGGTCTGTCTCATTTGGAAAGAAAAACAACAGATTTTACATCATAACATGAAGCCCAACATTCACATCTGTGAAAACTATGTGGTTGCATTTTAGCTTCTTCCATTCTAATTTTTATACTTAAAACTACAAACCAGTAGTATACCAATGGTCATCTAGTAGAAATTTACAGTGTCTTGGTAAGTACTGAGAGTTTTAACTTGAATCAGATAAGCAAGAAAAATAAATGTTTTTTGCATGGATTTATACAGTATTGTAGTTAAAATACTACTTATGGGTTGAAAAATGTAGAAATTGAGAGAATTCAGAAAGAATAATAGAATTCCCTGGTGTTAACAGATAATTAGGGGAACTTTTTGATATCAGCAGAAGATTTTTCTTTTTTTTTTTTTCCCTATTTTGTATTGAAGATTCAGCTCTGGTTAGAAAAGAATTTAAGTTGTATTTATTTTTCTGTGCCAGAGTTCTTAATGAATTGATGGTATTAAAATTTATAGTATTTAAAGGTAAAGATTTATAGTTGAAAATTTAGTTCATATTTAAAACTTTAAAACAACTGGTGTGTTATATTTGCTTGTTAAATAAGCATATTTACTTCAAATACTGAACAAGTACTAATCAGTATATTCATTATAAGCTTCTCTTTTCCAGAAGGTTGGTAACCTAGAAATGTCAATTATAACTGTCAAGAAATCACCTAAAGGCTTTTTTTCCCTGTAGAGACCATGTGTGGGTTTATTTAAAAATAAGAATTTCAAATGGATATTAATGTTTAATATTCAAAGCATGCAGAATATAATATGAAATTCAGCCTTAATACTTTACATGAATATGAGTCTTTTTGTAAGTATATTTACTTCAAATACTGAATAAGTACTAATCAGTATATTCATTATAAGCTACTTGTTTCTATAAGGCTGGCGAACTGGAAATGTCAATTATAGCTGTCAAGAAATCAACCTAAAGCCTTTTTTCCCCCGGAGATCATTTGTGGGTATATTTAAATTTTTATTTAAAAGTAATAAGCATTTCCAATGGATATTAATGTTTAATATTCAAAGCATGCAGAATGTAAAATTTAACCTTAATACTTTATATAACTATGAGTCTTTTTGGCTTTTCTAAGTTCAATCTCCCATTCTTAATTCACTTTAATTGTTTCAGGTACACAACATGTATCTAAGTATAAAGTACTGTTATGTTAGAAGCAGATGGAATTATAAAATTCCTTGCTCTTTATATTTATACCCTATTTAACATAAAAGTTATTTATACCTATATTTAATGCAAAGTTAATATTCAGTTACATATATAATTTTTTAATAAGAATTGCTTTTATTTTTCCTAAGAATTGAAAATACTTGATGTCAGCATTTATAGAGGCAGGCTGCCAAATCTATGTTATGCTAAGTTAAACACAACTCTAGGGCTTCCCTGGTGGCGCAGTGGTTGAGAGTCCGCCTGCCGATGCAGGGGACACGGGTTCGTGCCCTGGTCCGGGAAGATCCCACATGCCGCGGGGCGGCTGGGCCCGTGAGCCATGGCCGCTGAGCCTGCGTGTCCGGAGCCTGTGCTCCGCAATGGGAGAGGCCACAACAGTGAGAGGCCCGCGTACAGCAAAAAAAACCCCCACAACTCTTAGTTACCTCAAGCCCAGTTTTCTCTTAGTCTGTGTGTACTTAAAGGGTATAAGTCCCAATTAATTTATAGTTTAGTGTTGCATTGTGGGTAATATTCATTTCATTTGTTATTTCTAGTTTTTATGGAAACTTTTTTCAAGGTTTTAAATAATCTTTACCTTTCATTAATGACGATAGTTTATTATAGTCTATTGAACTATATTCCTTTGGAGACATTCCTTTTTGATGTTGCTAAGGAGAAATGCTTGTTAAGATACAAACTCTAGTCAGTTACTTAGGAGGATGAGAGATGTCAGAGGATCCAGACTTTAGCACTTGGTCAAGAACAAAACATAGTTTAAAAACATTTCTCACTTAATTCTATGTGAATGTCTCTTCTGATACTTCTTTTACGAGGACAGAAAGTTGCAGTGAATCTTCCCCACAAACAAAAAGAAAAAAAAAAGAGCATGAAGGTTTAAATCCCTAATTGTATACTCTTTTGGTTTTTAGGTAGGAACTGGAACTATCAATATTTTCATGTAAGTATTTTAATGAGTAGCTCTTTAAAAATGGTTTCTAAATTAATTTTTAAAAATTAATTTGTCCTCCAAATGCATGTTCAGTCACAGTATATTGGTATTGTATTTTAAAGGTGCTTAGCATTGCTTTTTTAAAAGTATGTTTACGTTTTTTAAATATTCAGTTAATTTTAAAATGCACAGGGTATTAAATACAGCGCATAAAGTTTTCAGTATCTGTATTTGGCATTCTCCTAACAGCTCTGCAGCAAAGTTTGACATACGCTCTTTTGTGTCATGTATTACAAGGTGTAATATCTGTAGTAGAAAGTTGGATGTTCAAAACAAGCAGTTAGAATTCATAATTACAGCTGAGCTTGTTTCTTTATTGTAGTTATCATTATAACTAAGCCTCCAAGTGAACATTATATATACTACAGTGAATTATAGATAAACACAGACATGGTGGGTCCTTCCCTCAATATTGATTTTCTGTGTAGGCAGTTAACATACTTAAAAGAAAAAGCCTTTATGTCTTATACAAGGTAAATGTTTTCTAAAAGTCACAAAATGATAGAAAATAGTCTTGGTGATATGGTCCTGCATTAGAGTTTCTAATCTTGAGGCCTACCAGCTTGTGTTTCATCTTTATATCCTGTCAAAATACATACTTAATCATGTGAATATGAGAAAGATGCAGTTTAATTTTGTACCGGGTTTTTTAAAAGTTAAAAAATGTGTGTATATGTGTGTGTGTGTATATATATATATATATATATATATAGTAACTTAATGTTTACTGTCCTTGTTATAATGTAATTTTTTTCATTAAAAAATACTGTTACTTTTTTCTTAAGCTTGTTAGTTTCCTTTTTATACTTTTCCTGAGCATAGTGGTAATTTTGTTCATCTTGAAGATGCTGAATAAACACATTAGTACCTGAGAATTTTGGCTAGAGATTTATGTTCAATTTGGAACCTGAATGTTTTTAAGCATAACTACCAGTAACTCCTGTTATCATTATGTTTGGGGATATATATGCATTCAGTGCTCTCAACTCAGCCAACTATCAACATTTTAAAACAATGTGTTTAATAGGGTGTAAGTAATTCTTTTTTCCCCCCATATTTTGGCATTATAACATCTTCAAGTACAGTTTTATATTTTTGGGGTAGTGACAGGAGTATGTGATTTAAAAAGTCACATACTTTTGAAAGTCACAAAATCATTAATTTTTTCCCTCTTTGCTTTTTATTTTCCTTTATTCCACTCTACCTATTTTTCAGGACCATAGAATATCTTACTCTCTCTCCAGAGGGGGACTGCATCGTCTCTTCCCCATCAACTGATTAGGCTTTAGACATCTTAAATAGTGTATTATTTTTATCTAAATATCTGTAATTCTACTCATTTAACATAATGGTAATGGCAAAGCCTAGTATACTTTTGCCACATACATGTTAGCTATGAATTCTGTTGTTGAATAATATAACATCCATTGCCGACTGAATTCTAAAAACTTAAGGAATTAACTCAGAATTTTAAAAAAATCACATTTGTTAATGAACCCTAAATTGATTTATGAGAAAAATAAACTGTATGATTAATATGGAAAACCTTTGAGAATGTGATATGGGTGTAAGAGTGCAGGGGCGATGTTGCTTAATGGTACAAACTTGCAACTAGTAGATACATAATTCCTGGAGATCTGATGTACTGCATGGTGATTATAGTCAACAATACTGTATTATAAACATCAAAGTTGCTCAGAGACTAGATCTTAATTGTTCTCATTACAAAAAAGAAATAATAATTATGTGACATGATAGAGGTCTTAGCTAAAGCTACAGTGGTAATCATATCGCAGTATATAAATTATCGAGTTAACACATTGTACACCTTAAATGTTATATGTCAATTATATCTCAATTATCAAAAGAATTCTAAAACCAGAGGAGAGAATGGGAGTTAGATACCAGCAGAGTTTTAATTTTTGAATATCTCTATTTAAGTATATAATTGACATAAAATAAACTGCACATATTTATAGTATACAACTTGGTAAGTTTTGATGTATGTATATGTCTATGAAACCATCACCACAGTCAAATAAGGAACATATCTATCACCCCCAGAAGATTCCTGGTGCCCCTTTGTAATCCATTCCCACTTCTTCCTGCCTCCACCCTTACCCCACCATCCCCAAACAACTACTGAATTGCTTTCTGTCACTAGAGGTCAATTTATTATGTCTACAATTTTATAAAAATGAAATTGTATAGTATGAGCCTTTTTAAAATCTGACTTTTGTCACTCAGCATAGTTATTCTGAGATTCGTCTATGTCACAAGATGTATGAATAGTTCATTCCTTTTTACTGTTGAGTAGTATTCCACTGTATGAATATACCATAATTTGTTTATCCATTCAGCTGTTGATGGGCATTGGGTTGTTTACATTTCTTGGCTATTACAAATAAAGCTGCTATGAACATTTGTGTAAATCTTTGTATGGACATATGCTTTCATTTCCCTTGGGTAAATATAGGAGTAGAATGGTTGGGTCATATGGTAGGTATAAATTTAACTTTTTAAGAAACTCTGAAATGATTTTCCAAAGTGATTGTACCATTTTACATTCCAATCAGCAGTGTATGAGAGTTCCAGGTGCTCTATATTAATAGGCAACCCTTGGTATGGACAGACTTTTATTTTTTTATTTTTTGCGGTACGCGGGCCTCTGACTGTTGTGGCCTCTCCCGTTGCGGAGCACAGGCTCTGGATGCGCAGGCCCATCGGCCATGGCTCACGGGCCCAGCCACTCCGCGGCATGTGGGATCTTCCCGGACCGGGGCACGAACCTGTGTTCTCTGCATTGGCAGGCGGACTCTCAACCACTGCGCCACCAGGGAAGCCCTGGACAGGCTTTTAAATTTTAGGCATTATAATAGGTGTGTAGTAGTAGCTCATTGTGGTTTTAATTTCCATTTCTCTAATAACCAGTATTGTTGAGCATCTTTTCATGTTTCATTTGCCATCTGTATTTCTTCTTTAAGTGTCTGTTTGAATCTTTCACCTATTTTTAAATTTAATTGTTGTTTTCTCATTATAGAGGTTTTAAAAGTATATTCTAGATACAAGTCCAGTATTAGAAATGTGATTTACAAATATTTTCACCTGATCTGTAGCTTATCTTTTCACTCTCATAACAGAATCTTTCAAAGGACAGAAGTTCTTAATTTTGATAACATCTAATTTATCTTTTTTTTCTTTAAGGATGATATTTTCATGTTGTATCAAAGAGATCTTTGCCTAGCCCAAGGTTTTCTTGTTTTCTTCTGCAAGTTTTATAACTTTAGGTTTACATTTAGATCCATGATCCATTTTGAATTAATTTTTGTATACGTAGGGCAAGGCATAGATTGACTGTTTTTGACATATGAATATCTGTTCCAGCATCATTTTTTGAAATAATTTATACTTTCTCCATTGAATTGAATTTATACCATTGATGAAAAATCCATTCATCACATATGTGTGGGTCAGTTTCTGGCCTCTGTTCTCGTCCATTGATCTGTCGTCTATCTCAGTGGTCTCAACTGGGGCAATTTTGCCTCCAGGGTACATTTGGCAAAGTTTAGAGACAATTTTAGTTGTCAGAACAGGGGAGATACCACTGGTTTCTGGTAGATAGAAGCCAGAAATGCTGCTCAGCATCGTAGAGTACATAGGACAGCTCCCACAATGAAAAATTATCTGGCCTAAAATGTGAGTAGTACTGGGATTGAACAACTCTGTTCTATCTTGATACTGAATATCACACTGTCTTGGTTACTGTAGCTTTTTACACTGTCTTGGTTACTGTAGCTTTTTAATAAGTCTTGAAGTCAGGTAGTGTAAGTCCTTGAATCTTATTCTTCTTTTTCAACTTTGTTTTGGCTATTCTAAAGTCCTTTGTTTTTCATGTGAATTTTAGAATCACCTTGTCAATTTCTTAAAAAACAAAAAGCCTGATGGAATTATGTAGAATATATAGATCAATTTGGGGGTAATTGAAATTTTAATATTGACTCTAATTTTTCTCTGCAATGTATTAGAGTTTTCAGTGTAGAAGTCTCATGTCTTTTGTCAGATTTATCACTAAGATGTTATAAATAGTATTATTTTTAATTTCAACATCTGATTTTTGCATTAGTATATAGAAATACAGTCAATTTTTTATATGGACCTTATATGTTGCAACCTTACTAAACTCATATATTAGTTCTAATAGCTCTTTGGTAGATTCTATCAGATTTTCTACATAGACAGTCATGCTGTTTTATATCTTCCTTTCCAAGCTGGATGCCTTTTATTTCTTTTTCTTAACTA